TCATTATGATAGCTCACTGCTGGACTTTTGGGGTAGCACAGTGCTGAAGAGAGGCTGTAGGGGAGGGATCACTGTCTGCTAGGTGCCTTCTTGCTTTGTCATTTACTAGCTGTGCAACTACATAACTGAGGCCATACTCTAAGATGCAGTCTCTCTACCTCTAAAGCGGGAGGGAAGCAAGCATTGGTCTACACCCTGCATGGTGCTGTTCCAGAGGGCAGATGAGGCAATAGCTACCACAGCTATTAGAGCAAGCCTCAGTTTCAGCATAGAATTAAGTGTTCAGACAGACTGAAATCGTGGTTAGTAAACGCAAAACAGCCTCTGGTCTATGTGGCTTAGCCCAGACTCTGAATGAGGACAGAGGACAAAACCAGATTACCTCAAAGTGTCACCCAGATCCAGAACTCTTAGCAGATGCTGGTTCCCTCCCTCGGGTCCATGTATGAGAATGTTTACTCCGATGAGAGTGTCTCCCTCGCTTCTGATTTTTGTATTCCACCCCTCTAGACGGCACTGAACTAGACACAGGGAGCCCCTGGAACCTGATGGCTCCTGCCTGATTCCCAGGCAGAAGTGAGCTGCTCCCTTTCAGATTACAGCTGCTCTCCAGGGTCCAGATGCGGCTTCTGTTTGTGGGAAGATCTTGGAGATCTTTACACCCAGGCAGAACTGACTCCCTAGAGGTGAGAGCTTCTTCATCTGGGGTCACATGAGGCCATGGGAAGATGCTTTCTGTAGATGGCAGATGGCACTTACAAGTACTCCTCCCCTCCGACATGTACAGAATGGGACCACCATCCTGGGTTGTGAGTGGGACCATTTCTCATGAAGCGGAGACAAGGTCCACAGAAGACCCACAGCTGGTGATTTTCTGAAAGAAGCCAGCTTTTACCATTCACTCTTGGAGCCCACGCTCTGTGTGTGGTCCTTCCCTTCAGTGGGTTGGAGCAGCTGCTGGGCTGGTGACCACTGACATCACAGTCTGGGAGTGTAGAGGACAGAGGACTAACGGGAGTGGTTGAACTGCATAGTGCGGCCGGGCGGTGGTGACGCACGCCTTTGCACACGCCTTTTATCCCAGCACTCAGGAGGCAGAGGCAGGTGGATCTCTCTGAGCTCGAGGCCAGCCTGGTCTACAGAGCAAATTCTAGGACAGCCAGGGCTGTTACACAGAGAAACCCTGTCTTGAAAAACAAAACAAAACAAAACAAAAACAAACAAAACAAACAAACAAAAAAAGAGTGTGTCTGGGATGCCGCCACCCTCCTGAGGACGCCCATCTTGCTCTACCGGGGCAGAGCAGCAGACCAGCTGACTCTGAAGTGAAGGTTTTTGAAATTTATCTCTTTTAAACTGAACCCCTTTTATCTCTGCCATTTTGAAGTATTATGGGACACATTTCTGAATTTTGCTAGGCAGCTGTATGAATACCTAATGAAGTCCAAAACTTCCTTTCTTCTCTGAACCGATTCTTGCTGTTTCTGTCAACCATTCGATGGTGACAATGTTGTCCTCCAGATGCAGGATATTCTTGCCTTGAATATACTAGTTTCTAAAATGCCTATGCTGTAGGGAAGAGAGTATCCTTTGGTCTGGTTCCTAGGATGATATAATCATTCTACAATGATGACTATAACCTTTATATAAAGAATCAAATGTGTGTGGGTCTCGGAACTTGTTCAGCACTGAGATGGGAGAGCCCTGTCTGACCAGCCGCTCTGGAGCGCTTCCTACGCCATGCAGACCCACTCAACTTTCCATTCGGGTAGTGACACCCTACCAGAGATTTCCCATCCTCCCACCTTGACGACAGTTCTGACAGAAAGAGCATTATGTCCATGTTCTCAACAGACACATTTTTCTGGCATCCTCCAGAGTAGACCTCACTGCTGGTTTGACCGAGACTTGCGACCAGGACTTGTTTGTGCTGCGGCCTCTTCTGGCTGCTCTAGATAGGAGTAGTTAGATCTCCCTTACCCCAAGAACTTTCCATTCTCTTCTGAGTTAACACAGCTTTAGGCTGTAGGAAGGAATTAGCAGATACAGAACAGAGCCTGGCCCCGGAGACTTCTAAAAGAAAGAAAAGATACACTAAGCCTGAAGTCACTTCCTAGCGTCTCCTTTCATCCCTGCGAGGCAGCTTGCTCTGCTGACACTACTGCATGCTTCCTTGGAGGCCTGAGGTGAGGCCTCACTGAGGGCTCTTGTTCTAAGCAGTAACTGAGCACTGGATATGGAACCCAACAGCCTACTCAACAGTTGTCTGACAGTCCCTACCAGCAACTTACAGGCCAAGATGGCACAGTACAGGGTCAGAGCCACTGGGGTCTAAGATAGAAGAGGAGATAGCTTATTAACACATTGCAGGAGAGGAATGCACTAAACTGTTATTTTTAAGGTCCAAAATGTAGCTGTGAGCAAGTGACAAGATCAGATTTGGAATCTGGTTTTCTTTACTTCTGATTCTAAACTGTCTAAACCACACATATAAAATAATACGTAACTCTTATAGTTGTGTATCTGCATTTATAGCTACAGATGTATGTGTTTGAGCCTTACACTTGGAGAAGGCTTTATTTCACTAGTATCCTCGAATTTGGTTCTCACTCTCCTCTTTTTTGAGAGGTAAAGAACCTGAGGTTTAATCACACAGATATGCCAGCCTCTCCATCAGATGCAAGTCTTTTGGCCCTGCTTGATCTCAGTAATTTGCCAAGTCCTTCCTCAGGATCCCTGTGGGATAGAATTCACGTTGTTCTTTCCCTCTCAGCTAGTCTTAGCAAGCCCTGTAACACAGCACGTTAGGAGTCTGCTGACAGGGTTAAGCATAGGGTGGCAAAGTGTATCATAACCAGTGAGCCAGTTACTTCAGGTATCCTAAGAACAGGTGTATGTGGAGCAAGGCTGTGGAGGCAGGGGCACAGTGCTGGGATAAATAGGGTGGAGAACTATGCCCTTGGTTGCTAGGGAAACAGGCTCATTCAAAGATGCTGTCCTCTGCCCATCATCCCCACGTGGTTTGACTTTTATGCTATTCTCAGTATGCCTCTTTATAAAACACACAAGGTGTGAAAAAGATCATTCTTAGGACCAAGGATGATTCCCCTTGTTCTGCAACAGCTGAGGAGATGCAAGGCAATAGATACTTATTGGGCATTTGTGATGTGTCGGGAACCTGACATGGATCACCTCATTTACTATATTCCCCTTGTGAGGAAACTGAGGCTCACAGAGATTACGTAATATAGCTTGTCTCTTACAGAGTGAGGATTGACATCTTGGCCTACTGGATAGAAAGCCTTACATTAAATGTGCATCGTCTTCTTGAGAGTGGCCAGGCTCAGCCCCCAAGCTCTTTGGTTTCAGGGACTCTAATCTGTCACAATCAATCCTTGCTGAGGACTTAGCCTTTTTGGCAGAAATAGCTTTGCAGGTCATTATTGAATACTAGCAGTAGGCTTACCTGCACTCATGGTCCTGAGAAATGAGACCTAGGATGGGAATTTATCAAAAATAGAGCAACACTTGAGTTCTATGTTCAGGACTTGAGACTGAGACTATCAGATTCAAGATTTACTTAGGTCATACAACCATTCTGTGACAAATCTCAAACCAGCACTGAGTGTCCAGTTTAGGATGAAGGACGAGAATTTAGCCTGCTAGTTATGAAACACTTGGTTATAAACAGAATAAAATAACTCTCACTCAAGAGTCCTGCTGATACAGGCAGGATTCAAAGAAAGAAAAGTAAAAGCTATATATACACAGTGGACAAAAAGAAGCAGTGTGTGAGAATCCAGATCCGGGGTGGGCAAAAAAGACTCAGTAAATGACTTCCCAGACTGTTTTGTTCCCATTGCACATACAGTTGGAATCCAAATGCAAGCCACCAAGGTTGCAGTGAAGCACTGAACAATTATAGCACAAATATTTGTGGGCAGTCGTGGGAGTGCAAGCCACCTGCTCCAAGTTTACAGCTTTGTTAAACTTGGTAAACATTAAAAATGCAATGGGAACGCCCCTGATCTGCGCAGCATCCCATGCCCGCTCTAAGGGGCCTTGCTTGGGGAGCCGGGGTGATTTTGCTCTTGACCAGGCCCTTCTCTATGTGGTTCAGCATTTTTTTTTTCAGTTGGTACATCAGTGTTGCCAAACAGTCTCCAGGGGAAACTGAGGGAAGTGGTTTGAAGGGGCACAGGGATCTGGAATACAATTGCTCTTTAATTTTCCAGACAGATAAAACAGATTCAGCAATGACGTGTCACAGCTATGTGACAAGCCAAGACGACTTGCTCTCTGACCTTGTGCCTTTCCCCTGCTTCTTCTTCTTAAGTTCTTCGGGTTTGTAGATAATGATAAAAGAGGAGCCGTAACATTCTAGAACGTTATAGCTGAAAGAGACTAGTCAGCCACAAGAGACTTCAACCACAAGGCTTTTTTTTTTGTTTAGTTTTGTATTTTTGAGACAGGGTTTCTCTGTGTAACAGTGCTAGCTGTCAGCTCTTGTAGATCAGGCTAACCTTGAACTCACAGAGATCCACCTGCCTCTGATTGCTGAGTGCTGGGATTAAAGGCGTGCATCACCACCACCGGCCCAACTACAAGGTTTTTGATGGTCACATGACAAAGGTTACTTTTGGCATTTAGTGGGCAGGTAGGGGCCAAGGATGCTAAATAGTTTGTCATGTGATAATGCGGCATAATGAAGAACTGAGTTGCTTAAATACCAAGCACCCTGGTTGAGAAATACTTTGTATACTGTTTTACTTTGCAGTTGAATATAAAGTAAACATGGAGACAGTCAGGGACCAGAGTAGAGATTTCTCCCAAAGGATCTGAAATCCCCCTACTCCAGACTATAACCTACTCCACCACCTCCTTCAGTCCCAGGGAATGAGCAGCAACAATGTTGCCTTCAGTAAAAAGGGTGACTCCAGCTCCCTCTTCACCCAGCTCCTGCCTACAGGGGCCTAAGCTATTTCCTGCTTGGCACTTACTTGGACTTTAGGCCTTCCTGCCCATAGGGCTGCAGCAGATACTGGTGCACCAGCTTGTCTCTGAGAGTCCCAGCCAGTTTGATTTTCTTTCTTGATCGATGCAGGTTGATGATGAAAAGTGTAATGGAGCCACGGACATAGTTGTGGCTGAGTTCAAGAGAGAAAGAAGGGGGGGAGTGGGGTGGGGGTGGGGGTGAGACAAAGCGGTCAGTCAATGCTCCTAAATAACTTACAGGTTGCACAAAACAGGATCACCCCAGAAAAGTGCCTCACTTTATGGATAGTCCCAACAGACCTTCAAGATGGCAATGCCTGGCGACTGCAGTCTCCTGAAAAGAAGGTGCCCACCCTTCACCCCACTGTATTTGTTTAAGTTTACTGGAATTATTTTAGAAACATACATGTATATATACAGTATGAAAGTAAACTGTGATGACTTCTGAAAACATAAAGAGACAAAGAAGTAAAAGAAAATGCCCATAGTTGTATAATCTTGAAATAGTTCAATATTTTGACCAACATTCAGTATTTTACTTCTTAGCTTGAGAAGTATCTATTAAGTGCTTTGACACATGTGACTATACCACTCAGTTTTATATAATTAGGATCAATCCATCTACATGGCCTAATGTATATATCATACATGGTCTTGTGTTATAGTTTCTTTTACTTATACGGGAACATTGACTTTCCAGCTGCAGAAACGCAACGTAATTTTTTTACTCAGTCAGTCCACCACTTTTGTGGATTCCCATTTTATTATTTTTTTACTCAGCCAGTCCACCACTTTTGTGGATTCCCATTTTATTATTTTTTTTGCCATTATAAATAATGTAACGAAAACCTTTATCTTACAAACCCTTTTTATGTATAATGATTATTTCTGGTGGTAGAAGTCCTAGGAGCTGGAATCACTATGTCAAGGCATGTGCACACTATATGACCCCTCCACAGATTCCCATTTTCTGTGGGGTCTCCCCCTATGAGAAGAGCTGATATCCTTGTGCTCTTGTTCTCCAGAGTGATTGCATATTAGTTTTGTCCAGTGTGACATGAGTGGACGTGTTAAGACCTTTGGGTAGACGCTGTAGGAACTGTTTATGTGATGGCATGTTTCATTCCTTAGGCTAGGAGAAGAATGACAATATCTTGCTGTTTAGATTTTTAGTTTTTTGGACACCTCCTATGTAGCCCAGGCTGCCGCTGAATTGTGATCATCTTGCCTCAGCCTCCTAAGTGCTGAGATTGCACACACACCACCATTCCTGGCTTGACAATGCTTGTCACAAAGCTTATTGAGGTGCTGAAATAAAGAAGTGTGAACAAGAAATACATATTCCTACTGGAAGCCATTTAAACTTGGGTGGTGTAGGAGGTCCTTCTGTCTATGTGTTGCTTTCATTGGTTGAATAAAGAAACTGGCCTTTTGATAGGGCTGAACTTAGGTAGGTGGAGTAGACAGAACTGGTTGCTGGGAAGAAGGGCAGTGTTGCAGACACCATGGTTCTCCTGCCCTAGATGGAAGCTGGTTAGACTTTTGCTGGTAAGCCACAGTCACGTGGCGATACACATTAATGGGGAGGGGTTAAACTAATATGTAAGAGTTAGCCAATAAGAAGTTAGAGCTAATGGGCCAGGAAATATTTAAATGAATACAGTTTCTGTGTGGTTATTCTGGGTGTAATCTAGCGGGGCGGCTGGAACAGGGGCCCCGCTTCTCCCTACAACACTTGGGAGTTCTTTTTTTTTTTTTCTCTTTTTTCTTTGAGACAGGGTTTCTCTGTAGCCTTGGAGCCTGTCCTGGAACTAGCTCTTGCAGACTAGGTTGGCCTTGAACTCACAGAGATCCCCCTGCCTCTGCCGCCCAAGTGCTGTAATTAAAGGCATGCACCACCACTGCCCAGCTTTGGGTGTTTTTAAAAAGATTGTTTTTGGTTATGGGGCTCAAACTCAGATACTAAGCATTGATAGCAAATGCCTTTACACTGAGGTGTCTCAGTGGTCTCAGGTGGTACACTATTCTTTTTAAAACATGGCACAACAGCACTTATTCTGATAAATGCACATATTTAGATAATCTTGATGTTATTTAGACAGTTTGTAAAGATTTGCTTCTGTCAGCTCTATATTAATTAAGAGTATCCACTTCTTCATACCCTAGGAATACTAGATATGAATCTTTTAAAATATCTTTGCCAACCTGAGAGAAGAAAATGGGATTGTGATGTTGTATTTTATAATCTTGTTCATACTGAAGCACAATAGACTTTCATTTGCCCAGTGGCCACTTCCAGTTTTCTAAACGAGTCACCATTTTAGAATCCTTTTAGCCCAAAGCCGGGTGTGCAGAACCGCGGGAGACCATATGCTGACATGCAAGGGGCCTTTCCGTGTGTATCAGCAAAGCTATAATGATTTTCCTCTCAGTAGGAAAAAAGCCCTTATTTCTAAGGGGTCTCTTGGGGCCCCATCTGGATGGGTTAATGAGAGGAAACAGAGAAAAATGACCCAGCTCAGCCTTCAAAAGAGCAGCTCAGAGAAATTCTAAGACAACTTTGCCCAGAGGAAAACATTGCTTGCAGACATGGAACCCCTTGATCCCTGCCTGGGTCACTAGTCTTTGCTCCTAGAGAGGCCAACTGAGAGTTGAGCAGTCAAGGGCAAGGTCAGCAGGACAACCTGGGAGCTTTAAAGTACAGATTTCAGGGTGCTGTTCCTTTAGGCTCCAGACCCGGGAATCTGTATGAAAAACTTGCCAAGTTATTTGGCTGATGAATTGAGTTCGGGAACTACTAACTTAGAACAGAACATGAAGGTTATGAGAAGGACTCCCAGAATATTCTCCTGGCTGTGTATCAGATGCTCTTCCCCTTACATCTGTAGGAAGGTACACTATTGTTTTCAAGAAGGTCTGCAACTATGTTCTTATAAATCATTAAATGGCTCCCCTATGCAGTCCTTCTTGCTCCATTCCATTCTACTCCCCCACCCCCGCAGCATGCAAATGAACTTCTGAAGTCATATGACTCAGGAGAGACCGTCAATTGATTTGAGCAGACTTGTGTGACCAGAGCTCTGAAGAAGGACGTTGGCAGCCTGTGTGGGTAGTGACCACCACCGAAGAACATCAGCTCGTTTCTAGAGGTGGGATTTCAGCTTAGTTTAGCTATCAACAAAATGGATGAAGACAGCATTAACTACAGGTACTTTGGGCTTCAGAATGTGAGCAAAAGAGGCATGAGTGGGTATTGATTTAGCCAGAACCACAGTAAACCCTTTTGCAAGCTACTATAAACAAAAGTTTTAAAGGCCAGCCGTGGAGGAGGGAAAAAGCACAGGCTTGCATTTATGAGTTTCTCCTTGGCAGGCTGGGGCAGATGTGCCCTTGGAGACTACGGGAAGAAGAGTGGGACGTGAGGAACTGGTGGCTTGGAGGGAGACCTGAAATCACAGCATTGCTGTAGGGAAAGCTATCTTTCCAAGCTGCTTGGCAATGGTTTGATTTCTATGTACATAGTTCTCCTGGGAAAGATAAACCAACCCAGCCCAGGAAACTGATTGAACAGGTTCTCAGAGAACTCATGCACTTCCTTAGGTAGGAACTGCTAATGAAGACTGCTCTAACCACACATCACCCTACTTGGTCAATGGGCAAGGGCATGAAGCAGAGGCCTTTTGACTTCACAGACATGTTCTTGGGTCAGGACTCCCACATCAACCTGGAGTACCATGGTGAGAATTCAGATTTTGAGGAATGCATATTCTGTCTACATGAAACCCATCCTGAAGGAGTATAAATTCTGTTAGAAAAATGGCATTTGGGGGCTTGGTCAGCTTGCCCTTTTGAATGCCTGATGTCTAGTTCTGGTGGCTTTTGGTTATCTTGGTGAATGCCTCTTTCTGGAAAGAAGCTGTTTCGGTGGAATGTCTATCCTGCTCTGTGCCTCCTTGTGGTGAGACATTTTCACCAGCAGCCAAGCCATGTATCTGGAGTTCATCTTTCCTGGCTGCTCTTTTCCTGCCTGACATCTTCTCTCTGTTGCCACGGGAGGAGGAGGAAGTGAGTCAGAGGAGGGATGTTAGAACGGGAAGATCCTGGATATAAGAGGTGGGAGATGTCAGATGGGAGGTGTGTCTTGAGTTCCAGATAGAAAACAGTCATGTTCTAGAAACATCTCCAGTGAAGCAGGGCATCTGGGAAAAGGAAGGGAGGATGATGCACTTGAGTCATTGATCATTCCCAGCGAAAGTTAATGTGCTTGAAAATTCAGTTGCTCCATTGTCTCCAAATAATTCAAAGGTTTTGGGTTTGGTAAAAGTCAGGCCCTGTTTTGCCAAACATTTTTCCCCTTAATTTCAAAGCCCCTGTGTATTTTAAGGGAAATTTAATCCACATGTTTCTGATTCATTTACACTTAACTCATCAAAATATTGTTTTGTAAGAGTCATTTGATGTCCAAGAAGCCTCAGGAACCTTTTTTATGAGCCTTTAAAAAAACTTCTTCTGAAAAACAGGAAGTCTTGTTTTGCCAATAATAAATGAATTTGAACCCCAAAAGGCTCAATTTTGCTTCAGCATTCACTAGGTTCCAGTTGGTTCTGAGTGTGGTTGAGGACCTCATCCACCACATCCTTACATTGTCTTAGCCATAAAGAATGGCCATAAAACGTTTTGACGGTCAATACTTGATGGTGGGAAGTTCTGCCAGCACTCTGTAACTGGTTAACTTCAGAAGAGGACAGAGGCACTGGCCAGGGCTGGTGTGAATACCTAACCTCTTCTAAATCAGTTTTAGAAGATCAGGCTCTGCTAGGTCAGAAATAATCCACAATGCACGAGAGTCATGGAGGGGTCTGAGTAGGTGAAAGATGGTTATCAGGAGATATAAAAGAGACGTCTACAGTCAATGGGACACAAGCTAAATGCTCTCTAAGAGCCCCTTACAAATGAAAAGCTCCTCAACACAAATGCTGTTATTTTCATATAGGTGATACCACAGAGCCTTAAGAATTTAAGATTATGTGAGTGTAAGCATTAGTAAGCTTATATTTCTCACCTAGCTCCTGTTTTGATCCAAGATATTTATTTCAGATAATCAAGGCTGATTAGTATGAAGCTAATATGTCCATTATGAGATGATTCTGTGATTTTGTCTGTGGCCACAGCTACACTGAGTGAGTTAGTCAGTGGTGCTGCTCCCAACCGATGAAGATGCGAGGCCCAGGCAGGACACAGGGCTTCTCTTCTCAGAGAGGGGAGCGGATGCCTCTCCTCTCTCTGTGCCTTGCTATCTGAATGCCTGACAGCTTTTTTTGCAAGGAGGAGACCTGCAAACTCAGCTGGCCCAAAGCATCCATTCTTTGGGTTTGGTGGAATGAAAAAGACCTTTAACTGGTTTATGAAAGTCTTCTTTCTTTTAAGGAAGAGAAGGAGAGCTTATTTTAATAGTAGCCTGGTGGAACCCCTTCCTTTCAAGAGGTTCTGATTGACTTCCCATAGAAAGCTGGGGGCAGCTGAGGTGGTGAGGGATTCAAATCAAGATTAGTTTTACTGCCTTGTTGGAGGCCTCCTGATAGTGAATGGTAGAATTCTGAGCCACTTTATTATGCTCCCTCTCTGGCTGATGTGATACACAGGGCAAGAACTATAATAAACCACCAGGAACACACGGTTCCCGGTTTGTCTTCTCCCATCCATTCATCTGTACATCAAACACTTACAAGACCTTCATGCCTGTCACTGTATCAGACACGAAGACCATAATTAGGATCATTGGCCTCAAGCCCATGATACCCTCAGGATATAAGTGGGACCTTCTCATGAGAATATCCAAGAACACTAGAGTGAGCCCTGGGATGGGCCTCCATGGGAGCCTTCAGCCCACATAGATATTCCAGACTACCATTACAAAAGACTGGTGTGTTTTCCAGTAGGGACAGAAGGTGCCAAGAGCAATTTTTCTCTCTTGGGGCTGGGGGTCCACCTTTTGGGTGGTTGCCTCAGGGCCTGTCATAGACAACGAATACAATGTTGCCTTGTGTGAGGATCAGATAATTCCAGGCAAGGCCATAAAGCAGTCAGTCACTGTCAGGTATGGGACAGAACTTCCTGCTGAGCCAAAGGGCTGTTGAAAGCTTCTGGCCTGTGCCCAGGACAGCCTCCCCTTCCTACAATAGGCACTTGTATCTACAGGCAAGACAACCGGACCCTGGCGCCCACCTCTGCTCTGAGTGAATCTTTGAAAGCATTTTATCACAAGGAACTAACAGGCTTTGCTTCTGTCTCATCAAGGACAGAGAAGGAGCATCTGGTGTAATCCGACCCCAGCAGCTCTTTGTGCTTCCCTCCCTTGATCAGCCCTGATAGGCCCTGGGTGGAGGTCTGACTGGATACAGGAGGCAGTCCCTTCCCCCAGGTTTGCTCTGCAGTGAGAGAAAGAATTCTCCTTTCCAGGGTATCCTCCTCTGCCCTAAACAGGAAGTAGTGTAAGACATTGTTGACCAGATGGGCTTTGGTTTTAGATCCAGTTAAAAAATATTCTCTTATGGTCTTCATGTTTTAAACTTAAAAACAACAACAACAACAACAAAATAAAATAAAACAAACAAAAAAACCTGCCAAACTTTGCTGGTTTAAAGAGAACTGGGATGATACACAGTGCTTTCTATCAAAGAGAGAAGGATCAGCTCAAAGCACCGCTGGGTTATTATGTGTCCAAAGCTCCTGTCCTTCAAAAGGAAGTCTGCATTTCAGTCCTCTACCACCTGAAGTAGCTGAGATCTCTGAAATATGGGAAATGGCACTCATTTAGTTGCAGAGACCTCGTGGGATACTAGTCTAAGCCAGGTGCGTTTGCAATGCAGACACAGGCCACATTTTCTTATGCTCTGTGGTGGGTCAGAGGATCAGATTTGGCCCCTTGTCTTGGCTCAGGCTTAGACACACACAAATCTCTGTGGGCATGGTATCAACTGGCACAGATAAAGTGCCCAATAAAAATTTGTTGCATGAGTAAGAGAGTGAACAAATAGATGCATCGTGTAAGCCTTGCTGAGTAAACCCTGTGCCAGGAGAAGGGCGTACTTGACACAAAGGCTGCGGAGAGAATGGTGACCACAGGGGCAGTTTCCAGCTACGATCCGTGAACCAAGGTGAACTTTGAATGCTCCAATGGCACGGCATTCAGTCGAAGAGGAGACGCAGCCCATTGGATGGCCTTCCTCTTTCCCTGTTGGTGGGAAGACTTACTTGTGGTGGTTTGTGCAGTGAGCATAGATCCGTAGTTTGTCTCGGATGACTCTTCCTGGTCGCGGCTTCCGCTGGAGCCCAGCTACATGTACTGCCAGGACTTTGGGGCCAATCAGACGCTTGTAAAGGAGAGAAAGCCAGTAGTCCTGCGGAGAATAGAGAGGTGGTGAGTCAGGGAGACAACTCTCATTCAGGTGCACTGAGCAAACATGAAAAAACACAGGCCAGAAACTACTTCCTGCCAGGACAGTATGGTTACCCTCACCGGAGCTGGCTGTGGGCTGATAACGAAGGCAGCACTTCCAGCACGACCTCTTCATTCACTAAGTGGGCAAGGGTTAGGTGGAGTGGACTCAGCAGCGTATGAATATAGGAATCAAGTTTTTCACAAATGGAATAACTAGTTGGGGTGGGGGACTTACACCTCCAACTCTACTTTCTGTGGCTGCACTCTCATGCTGGTTCCTGGTTTCTGTGAAACTGCAGAATGGGAAATTTGTAATCCTTAGGATTGTCACCAATATGAGACTATAAAATAGCATTCTCCAAATATTGGCACTGAGGACGATTACACAGAGGGAGATATGGGGAGGGAGACCAAGGTTCTCCAGAAGGAGCCAGGTTGAGGTCTCCATTCCAGAGCCAGAAAGACAAACAGAGAAAAGCTTGCGCACAGTTATAATTCCTGGCCATTTTCAATATTCTAAATAAAAGAATGTTCCTAAATTGAAAAGAATGTATAACCAATTAATAAATGGCCCACTCTGTAGCCAACACTGTGTTTGAGGGCACAGAAGTCTGCCTATCATCATCTTAATTTTGGTTGTATTTGCTGTTAGGACAAGTTGTATTTGTTTTTGATACAACATAAAACTGGTATTTGTATTGTGTAAACTCTTAACACTGACTGTTGCTTTCTGAACACAGTGTTTATAACTCATCCATATAAAGCCCCACTATAAATCCTGGAATTCGGGGCACACTCCATAGTGCCTTCACTGTGTTCATCTTTCCATGCAGAAGTCTCCTCTGTGTATGTGTGTGTGCGCGCGCGCATGTGTGTTTAAACTGTGTGTTCATCTATAACATCTGTGGCCTAAAAATGTCTGGTAAATTTTACAAATTAGAACACATTTTTCAAAGAATCTTTGTCAACAGCACAGCTCCGCATCTGTCCTGACAGCAGGCTTTAAGGCCTGCCCAACAGTTTAACTTAATTCTTTTTAAGTGGCTTTAGGTTGGCTATCAAATAAAGTCTCCTAGTACTTAAAATGCAAATATTTGATAATTTTTAATTAAGGATAGAAAAAGTCCTTGCTTTAATTTTCTCTTACTTGATTCTAATTTTTATGTGTTTTATTCAAGATCTATCATGTTCCAAGAAGATTTCCACTGGTTCCTATCTAATTTATAATATGTTTAAAAATAATAAAAGTTTAGTAAGCTGTTGGTTACTAATTGCTTGGTATGATATAATCTCTATTCTGGTTGGAAATCTTTTATTTTATCAATATGAAAATGGGTTCAGAAAGCTCAAAGGTACACGTGAGGTTACAAAACTGGTCAGAGATAGCCCACAAAAGAAAATCTGGGTTTATTTTCCTCAACACTGGTGTAATACTTTACTCACTCTGAAGCCCAGGAAGTCACTTGAGTAAAGGGACAAGGAAGCTTGCAAGCAAAATTTCTGTGGACATGGAATCTGGAAGTGAGCCTTACTGTCAGTGCCGAGAGCGGCTATGATTTAACCTGTGATTCCTGCATCCTCAGAGCATTTAGAATAAAAGAAAGGAGAGCACAACACACCCATTTCTCCAATTCTAAAAAAATCTGTTCCTTTTTAAAAAATTACTTCATTCCAATGTCTTATCACAAACACTTGCCTTTTTTTTTTAAAAAAAGAAAATCTAAAAAGCTAAATAGGTTTGCTTTCAATTTTTCATTTAGGCATAGCTATGATCTTTGTGTCACAGCAATTTCCAAGTAAGGTTAGGCATATCTGTAGCAAAACAATTAACATTTGCAAATAGTACTATGTTTAATTACTGTTTAATCTCAAAATGTATATAAAGACAAAAAACATATTTCAGAAAGATTAGCCTAAGTATTCTTTATCTGTATTAAATGATAATTTAAGTTTAAACCCACACCAAGACTTCCTAACATGAAGCAGTCTTTTGTGTTGTGGGGAAGCTAAATGTAACACCATCCCTAAGACTCTGAGATACTGGCCGAGGCTCTGAGGAGTTTGTGGTGGAGAGACAAAAGATGATGAAGCTCATTTCCAATGATCCAGCCTTTTCTTCAGCTTTTCTGACTGTGGCAAATCCACATAAAAACTTGTATTTCAACCACTTAGAAATGCATAGTTCAGCAGGTAGACACATTCATAATGTATAATGAACCACTGTCTATCTCCACAACTGAAACCGGGACCCATTAAACTTTAACTCTTTCGCTCAGTCTCCTGGTGATCACTATTTTGTTTTCTGTGCCTCTTGGTGTGGGACAATTCTGTATTCTGTCAATTATGATTTAAATAAATGCTGATTGGTCAGTAGCCAGGCAAGAAGTATAGGCAGGACAACCAGACAGGAAGTAGAAGCGGGTCAGTGAGAACAGGAGAATTCTGGGAAGAAGGAAGCCCATTCCTCTGCAGTCCTGTCCAAACACTGAAGAAGGAAGATATAGCCTGCCCTGTCGAAAAAGGTACCAAGCCATGTGGCTAGCACAGATAAGAATAATGGGCTAATATAAGTTATAAGAGTTAATAAGAAGCCTGAGCTAATGGGGCAATCAGTTTACAACTTATGGAGACCTCTGTGTGATTTTCTTTGGGGCTAACAACTATGGGAACTGGACAGGACAGAAATCCTGACAACAAGCAGGCCCTCGTGTTACAGCCTCTCATATAAGTGAATATACAGTATTTTTTCTTTGGATGACTGGTTTATTTCATTAAGCATAATACCCAGAAGGCTCATCAATGTTGTACATATTGGAATTTCCATTCATTCTAAGGCTTAATAATGTTCCATCCTATGCACATATCATCTTTGATTTAATTTGTGGACTCCCATGTGGTCTATCTTGAAAAATGTCCCATGTGTAAAGAGAGTAATGTGTCTGCTGCTGTTGGGTAGACTTCTATTTGACCTATTTGATCTATTGTGGTTTTAGGCCTCTGCTTCCTTATTGACCTTCCTTATTTGGATGTTCTCTCCATCACTAAAGTCTTCTGCTGTAGACTTGGCTGTTTCTCCTTTCAGTTCTTCCACCTCCCCCCACAATACTTTTATAGTCTGTTATGTAGCACGTGGATGTTTATAATAGTTAAATCTTGATGTATTGAAATTTTTATTTCCTTTGTTCCTTGTAAGCTTTTTATATTGTAAGGTCAATTTTATCTGGTATTATTATAGCCACCTCTTAGCCACTTCTACTACTCTTGGTTATACTTGAATAGATTTATCTTTTTACAGCCTTTCAATCTGTTTGTACCTTTGTATCTAAAGCCATTCTCTTATGGGCAGCATGTTTATTTTGTAAAATCTTTTCTGTCAACTTATTTCTTTTAACATCAGAGTTTAATTTCCTTATATCCAAAGTAATTATTGATAGGAATGGATTTTGCAGTTTATTTTCTATATACCTTATAGCTTTCTGTCCCTAATTTCTTGCAGTACTATTTTTCTTTGTTTTCAGCTGCTTTGTTTTTCATAGCAAAAGAAATTTAAATTCCTTTCTTATTGTCTTTTATAATACCACAGTGATTACATTGACATTCTAATGAAACTAATTTGTACTTAGATTAACTTTAATGGCATATAAAAATTCTGTTCTTTTCTCAGTAGCAAATGTCAAAAAGTTACATTTTTATATACCATAAGCCTAAGACATACCAATGAGTTTTTTTAATACACTAATCTCTTAAATTATATAGTAGCAAATTATAGGCTACCAATCCAAATTATAATAATCCATGTCTTAATCAGTATTAAAATGTATTAGTCTCTTAAATCATATAAAAATAAAAAGCAGTTACAAAGTATTGTTATAATAATACTCATTTTTTTTTTATCTCAGTTTAGCATGAATTCATTCCTGTGACTACCAGTTCTTGACTGGTATGCTTTCAGTCCAAGTTGTATAGTGTAACTTCTTTGAGCCTGTCTTATGGGCTAGACAGTGATAAAATCTCTCCCCCCCCCCCGTTTTTTTAGAGACAGGGTTTCTCTGTGTAGCTTTTGAGCCTGTCCTGGAACTCACTCTGTAGATCAGGCTAGCCTCAAACTCACAGGAATCTGCCTGACTCTAACTCTGCCTCCCAAGTGCTGGGATTAAAGGTGTGTGCCACCACCGCCTGACCATTTTCTCTTACTTTTGAAAGAAAGTTTTGATAAATATGAGGCTTGCAAGGTTCTGAGAAGTCTGCTGGTAATCGTGCTGAGGAATTTCTACTGCAGAATGAGTTGTCTCTCTCTATTGCTTTCAGCATTCTTTTCTGGATTTCAAAAGTTTGATTAGGATATAGGTTCATCTTTTGGACTTAATATAAGTTCTTGAAGTTTTATATTCATGTATTTCATCAAATTTAGGCAGTTTGAATCCATTATTTTGTTGAATATGTTCTTAGCGCCTTTCTCTCTCTCCTGGAACTCTCACAATGTAGTATTTGGTCTCTATTAATCTTCAGTCTGATTTTCTTCATGCTCTTCACCACTGTTTATTTCCAGCATCAGATCTTAGGCCCACTGATGGTTCACTCAAACCTGCCTTTGAACCTCCTCACCTCCTGTATCATCCCAATCATTGTGCTTTTTTTAGCTCTGGAATTTCTTCCTGCTCTCCCTTTAGGCTTTCTATTTGCTGATACTTCTTCTATATTGTTCACCTATCTAGATTTTGACTTTCTCAAGATCATCTTCTAGGATCTTTAAGATAGAGTATTTATTAGAATTGACATCAGGTCGTCTTCAGGGACAGTTTCTATTGAGTTGCTTTTTAAATGCTAGTACTTTACTGTCTCTTTTATGCCTTGTGATTTTTGTTTCTGTTTCAAACTTGACATTTGAATCTAACAATGTGGCAACTTCTAGAAATCGCATTTTCTCGTTCCCATTACACTTTGCTAGTGTTCATTGTT